AGATCTCAAGCACAGAATTCAGAATATCTGTCTGCAAATCATGGCATCACTTTAGGAATGATCCCACTTTTCCCTCTCTCTTTCCCACAGTCTCTGTAGTTTTCCAGAGGTGCAGAAAGGGTGAAGAGTCTACAGCCACCCCGAGGTTGTACTAGACAGAGAGCTCAGAACAGGCATCACAGTTGGTGTGTAGCAGCTCTGCCTTCCTGTGTAGTCAAGAAAGAGGAAGAAACACCTTAAAGACACAGCTCAGTTGACCTTTATTAGGTCATTACACCACAGGGAGATGATTTAGCCCATCAAAGATTGTCCCTCTGTCCTTGAGTGCAAATGGAGAGCAGATACCTGCCCCAGGCCAGATGTCTAGGATGCCATCAGCATTAAGTAAAGCTGCCTTAAAGGATCCCAATGGCCAACATTTAGCATTTACATGTTTCTGCATATTTTTCAACACTTTACCAAGGATTTCTCTCTGCCTTTCACATAAATAAACACAACACACATGTGCTTTAATACACATGGCTGACATGAAGAACATAAGGAAAGGAGAGAAAAAATGCTTCCTACAGTACCCAGTTCCTAAATGTTGCTACATCAACTTTCTGAGCTCCACATTTGTCGCCTGAAAACATTTGAAATCATTCACTCCATGTTCCGAGTTCTTCACCAGACAGGTCAGAGAATTGTTCCACTCTTCTTCCTCCTGCTTGCAATTCCTGTACCCTTGCTCTTATTTTTCTTGTTGCATCGAAACTTGCTTCAGGTATTTTTCAAGGCAGTTTTTTTTTCTTGCCAGGCAGGTTTTACTGTGATGGCATCAATGTCCTGTTTTCTGTCTGTCACTTACACTGAGAGATCCAATGAGGGAACATCTCCAAGGCTTTCAGAACTGAGCTCTGCATTTCCCGCATCTTCCTTCTCCCTGAAGTCACCCCACCCCAGCACAGCCTATAAATACTCCTGGAACATACTGGGGACTAAACACAGGCAAAAGAGAGTTGGACCTGAGAGAAATGTGTCATTAGCAAACTGCAAGCAGGTCCCTGAGGGCCTTATTAAATAGTTTTGCTGGTTGGGTCCCTTGGTTGGGTCCCAAGTCACTTGAGGACCTTTTGTGAGTGGAGTCCTGGGGGTTGATGAAGAGAGGAGAAAACACCACACACTTCCAAGCACTCACAAGACCTTTGTATGAAAAAAAGCCTGAAGTTTCTAGTAATAAAATGGCAAATGTAGGGTTCTACCACTGATCTGTGCATTGAGCCAGTGTGAGGCAGCAGGAAATGTTGCTTGAGATCAGAGAGATTCAGGGCCAGGACAGGGAGTCCTGGTTTCCCAGGGATAGACTGGATCAATGCCTCACCAGGATGAGATGTAAACACAACCAAATATGAATGTTCAATCCCCAAGTCAAAGGAAGGTCTGGGCAGACCATCATATCAGTGGGGATATGTCCCTGAGAACTGTGGCTCAAGTTCAAATCAGATTGAACTGATTCTTCCAGACATGGTGTTAATTGAGAAGAGATCCCCCATCTTTATCTCAGCATTTTTTATTTCGATTTTTTTCTTTCAATTTCTTCCCATATCCAGTTGAGGATGAGTGAGAGAGGGGCTGTGGGAGTGTTCCAGCAGCCAGCCAAGGAATCAAACCCATGGCATGAATTTTAAAGCCTAGAATCTAGTCTCTGAAAGCATGTAATCTCTAAAAAGAATGAATGTGATTATTGAATTTGAAGGCCATTTCTGCTCCATCTTCAGGGGCTGCTCCTCCAATCCAGAAAGAAAACCTTATTGACTGCACCCCTGGGTTTAGTTTTACACAGTGAAGATAAACCCTTCCTCTTCTGCCAAGGACTTGCTGCTGTATTTCATCTCCATGTGTCACCAGTTACCTTCAGTCAAATGAGTGAATTGTCAACTATTTTAAGGACATCTCATTCCTCTGCCAATAGAAGTTTTTAGAAAATTCATGCCTTGACCACAGCCAGTCAATTTGCAGTAGAAGGGCATTGCCCAGAGTTGTGAGATTCTGGGGTCATTTCTACATTTCTGTACTGGAAATGGCTTGTCCTCCTTGTTCTGTCACTCCAGGCCCTTGTCCAAAGTCCCTGTCCAGCTCTCTTGGAGCCTCTTCAGGCACTGCAAGGGGCTCTAAGGTCTCCCCAGAGCCTTCTCTTCTGCAGGCTGAACACCCCCAGCTGTCCTAGCCTGTCTTCAGAGCAGAGGGGCTCCAACAGACAGATCAACCATGCCTGTCACTTGTCTTTATAGTCATGATGATGAGCAGGTTTCCAAAAATGATAGTGATGTAGAAGAGTAAAAAGAACAAGAAGCAGACTTCTGCTCCTCTCCTGTCTTATGTCAGTCTGTGGAGGATGAACTGGGTCCCACTGTTTGTGTTCTCCCTAGACACCACTCAGGCAAGACCTGGAGCCCAGAAAAGAGACAACAGGAATGACATCAGACCTGAGGCAGGATCAGAACATGCACAAACTGACCTCTGACATGTTAAATATTCTGCTTTTTTTTTTTTTTGCTGTATTTTTGGGACAATTTCAAGTTCAAGTCAATACTTTCCTAAAGGAATAAGAGTGCTATCTGAGTCAGAATGTATTCTTGACACAAGTAATAGCAAGTTCAGATTATTTAGTTGAGAAGGGTGGTAAAAATAAGAGGCAGGTGCTGGACTTAGTCCTGAACAGCTCCTAAACACACCTGTAGTGACACTGGGGGAGTGAACGAGCTGTTGGTGACCCTCCTTTCCTGACAAACACACACAAATTCACCTTTGCAGCATTGCCCCGCACTACACAAGGATCACTCCTGTGTGATATCCCTGGAAGTGCTCAGGACCACATTGGGTGAGGCTTGGAGCAACCCAATCTAGTCGAAGGTGTCCCTGCCTCTGGCAGGGAGAGTCAGAACAATATGAGCTTGGAGGTGCCTTTCATCCCAAACCATCCTGTGATTCTAAAGCTGTAATTGAGGGGTTTTTTTTCTCAATCATAAAATAGACCCCACAAAAGTCACTCACCAGAAATGCTGCTTTTCAAGGGCAGGATTTCAGCCAGGCCTGAACAAAACCAAGGGACAATCTCCAAACATTTCCACTGAGAGCTCTCTTGCTGTCACTCCTCTGAGGACCTCCCCAAAGCACTTCAGGGGGTTTCATCAGAATGTCTCAGCTGCAATTTGCTGCTTAGAAGTTGTGAAAGCAAGTGGAAATCTCTGCCAACTCTGAGCCCTGCAGTGGCTGAAAAGAACAGCCCAACTCTCTGTCTCAATTCCCCAGTCTGGAAAAAAACCCCAACCTGCGAGAGCATCTACAAGAACAATTATTTCTGTAGCAGAAGCCCAAGACTCTCAGGAGTAAGGAGATCCCAGAGGCAAAATAAGTTTTGTCAGAAATCATCAGTGGACAAGGAGCTCAAATTGTTCTTTGGATAGTTCTTAGGGGAGTGTCTGGAGAGAAGTGTTGGAGTAAAGATGCCTCTTACGTAGGATGTCTCATACATGTCTCATATATATAAATTTCCTATAAATTTATGTAAATTCTGCTTTCTGTCCTAAGCTAATATTTCTCATCTGCATCCTTATTTCTTATTAACTCGCTCTTACCACTGCACAAAAAACCCCCACAAAAATCACACCTGTGCTACAGATGTTATCCCTTAGATGCCTGATGAATATAAATTTGAAACAAGAAGTAACACAGGAAATGACTTCAAAAATTTGGAAAGGTTTGTGGTGAATTCCTCTCTTCCTATCAGTAATTTTTACTGCCACAGTGTAAAGCACAGAAGCAACTTTTTAGCTCAAGTCTGAAGTTTTTGTAAGAATTTTTAATAAAATGTGGAGAAGCCTAATGCTGCCTTCAGTGACACCTTCCATAAGCTCTGGGGGAATACTTGCTCAGCAGCACGCAGAAATGAGACCACTAAAAACTCCATTGGTGTTCACCTCCAAAGCATTTAAAAATTGATTTTTAAAAATTTTTAGTATTTTGTGTGTGTGTGTGTTATTGTGGCAGTTTGAGCCACATTAGAAATCCAAAATCCAACTTCCAGGCTTCCCCCACCCCTTCCCACAATTTATCCCAACACCGAAGAGAAAATCTTTCAGGTCAGAGGCTTCTATAGGGGAAGGGGGAAGCATATATGCATTTTATTTACACAAATAAATACTACACAAGCTAAAAGCAATTATATATTTTAATTTTTTTGTGTGTGTTTGTTATAAAGGACATTTTTGTGTGTTATCCTGACCCTGTCTTGGGCTGGGAACACCTTGTAACCTTCAACCCTACTTAAAGTAAGGGGTTATCTTGACTACTGGAATAGTTGCTAAACAATTCTTTTTTATTATTATTCTCCCATGAATTTGTGCCTCCAAAGCCCTACTTTGGTGACTCCTTAATTTTTAACAGTCAGGAAAGTGTCTTTCATTAGATGTGTGATTCTCTATTCGTCTAAAGATGAAAATGAAAGACATGAGGCCGAGCTGAAAGATAGAGGGTAGGGTTGGAAGGATGGCAGCAGGGATGGGAGAAGTAAATAGACTTGTAGGATTCTAGAATATCTGTTTGGTTTGGAAGGGACCTTAAAGACCATCTCATTCCACCCCCTGCTATGGGCAGGGAGACCTTCCCTTAACCCAGGTTGCTCCAAGCCCCATCCAACCTGGTCTGGAACACTTCAGAAAGGATTTGTTGAGGGGAGAGGGGAAGGGGAGAAGTTTCCTCTCCCATTACTTGCATCAGCAAAGGACTCAACTCCCACAGAATATCAGGTTTTCGTGTTTGTTTTTTTAATGGGATGCTCTACCTGGACAACATTTTCAGTCCTTTTGATAGTATTTATTTCAACACTGGTGTTGAGTTTGTGCTCAAGAGGCCCTGGTCTGCACCTGTGCTTGTTGACAAAGAATAGACAGGGAATGCCAGCTCATCACAGAGTTCACAGTGTCTTTCCCCTCAACAAATAAACCTTTAGTGCCTTCCTAATAACAGCAGGAGCTCCCAGCAAGCTGTCCTTTAAAGGGCAGGTCGTGAGGAATTGTCACAAAAGAAATCATAGCCAAAGATGCTCGATTTTCTCCGATCTTTTGGAAACATGACTATGGTCCTGCACCTTTGCATTTTGGCTTCCCACTTTTCTGCTCCACAGCTTTCTCATGGCACTCTTCACTTCCTGGTTCCTGAGGGTGTAGATGAGAGGGTTCAGCATGGGTGTGATGATGGAGTAGAACACGGCCACGACTTTGTCCTCCACCAGGTTGCTGGAGGGGCGGATGTAGATGAACGTGCACGGCCCGAAGAACAGGATCACCACGGTGATGTGGGAGCCGCAGGTGGAGAGGGCCCTGTGCCACCCTGCAGCTGTCTGACCTTTCAAGGAAAGCAGGATGACAACATAGGACGAGACCAGGATGGCAAAAGCACTCAGAGTTATCAAGCCACCGTTGACCACCTCGGCAGCGCCCACGGCACGGGTGTCGGCACAGGCCAGGCGGAGCAGGGGGTGGACATCACAGAAGTAGTGATTGATTTTGTTTGGGCCACAGAACGGGAGGCAAATGGTGAGAAGGAGCTGCAGGGTGGAGTGGAAGAAGGCCCCGAGCCACGAGCCCAGCACCATGAGGCCACAGGTGCGGCCGCTCATGAGGGCGGCGTAGTGGAGGGGCCTGCAGATGGCAGCGTAGCGGTCGTAGGCCATGGCCGTGAGGAGGAAGATCTCAGCGCAGCCAAAGAAGTGAAACCCAAAGAGCTGGGCCATGCAGCCCACGAAGGAGATGCTTTTACTCCCCCCCAACAGGCCAGCAATCATTTTGGGAGCCGTGGTGGAGGAGTAGCAGATGTCTACAAAGGACAGGTAGCAGAGGAAGAAGTACATGGGCGAGTTGAGGCCCTGGCTGCTGATGACAGTGACCACTATGAGCAGATTTCCTGCCACAGTGATCAGATAGAAAGCCAGAAAGAGCACTGAATATATTTTCTGCAGCCCCTGGTTCTCCGAGAGGCCCAGGAGGATGAATTCCTTCACGCTGCTGGCGTTGTCCATGTTAAGGCGGTGGGGGATATTCGATGCAGCACCTGGGAATGTGGAAAAATAAAGGCAAAACAATTCCTCAGGTTTTTTAATTATTAAATGCCCATCCTTCTGGCATTGGGTCCATCTGATCCAGGCTTTTGCTTTACAATTTCAAAATCAGAAACCCTTGTGCAGGCAAAAAGCTGCTCAAGCATCCACAGGAAATGGAGAAAACCCAAAATTGCTCTCAAAATTGCCCACAAAGGGAAGCCTAGAGAGGAAGTTGGGAAAGTTTGGGACTTTTCCTCTGCTTCCAGTTGTACTGGCAGGAGGTAAAAGGTATTCAAGAAAGGGGGCAAAATTTAGAGGTCTTCCCTCTAAAAGTATCTTTCAAAGGACAGATTAGAGTTATGTGATATAATGTAGTCAACTGCAATATGAAAGAAATACAATGTGGACTGTTTTAATTTCAAGAAAGGATGAGAAATTGCACCACCTCCTTCTTGCAAGTGTTTTCCCCTAAAATCTCAGGTGGTTAATGGGAAAGAGAATTAAAGAACTTAATTTGGGACTGCAGGACTGGCTCTGGATGTGGTTCTGGGCAAAGAGAGCCAGAGATGGTTCAGTGAAAATTTCTTCTTTGTATTTTCACATTTGTTAAATGAGGGGGGGAAAGAGGAAAGGAAAGCAGAAAGAGGAAAGAAAAGAGGAAGGATAAAAGGGAAAGGATGCATAGAATGTGGAAACGTTACCTTCTCTGTGTTTGAAGATCTAATTGTTTGTGTAAGGGCTGCAAGATTTTATCTCCTCAACCTCTGCCTTTCCTGGGATGAATGAGATAGAGCCCATTCTTTCAAAAACAGAGAACAGCCTCTGGAAAGCTTGCAGTGCTTGCTTAGGAGGTGCAATAATCCCACCTAATTGAATTTCTTGCTTTCCTGTATCAGCAGGTGTATCTGGATGTTTCCTGCCCACGAGAGCTGCTTTGGAGGCTGCTTGGAGATGGGTGGGCACTGAAGGCTGCACACGCAGCCCAGCAAGCAGAGAGAAGGCTGAGAAGAAAATTGTTTATGTAGCTCTTCTTAAGCATCTCCAAGGAAATCTCCCACCTCAAGGGCTTAATTCCCTGTTTCTGTAGAACTCCTGCAGCCTCTCCAAGGAAATGTCTCCTCTGCAGGGCTCTTGGGGCTGCAGGAGGGAGGTGTGAAGGCTGAATGAAAGGAAGTTGGGAAGGAGGAGAAATTAATCCTGTCCTGGGAGGGGAAGTTTACATCAGATAGTAGGAAAACTTTCTTCACTGAGAGGGTGCTGAAGGGGTTTCAAACTTGTGTGGATGTGGCACTTGGGGCCATGGTTTAGTGGTGGCCTTGGCAGTGCTGGGGGAACTGTTGGACTCGCTGATCTTAGAGGGCTTTTCCAACCTGACTGATTCCAGGATTCCTTGAGCTAACAGGCAATGGATGAGCTGAATATTAAACTGGACAAGCATGTGATGTGACCTAGTCCAGTTAACCATTCCCAAAATCCATCATGAAACCAGGATTTGTGGTTTTCCCAAGTCCCAAGGGGCCCATTGGATCCACTGCTTTGGCTTTATAGTTTTGTGAGAAATAAAACAGGACTTCTAAATCAGGTTTTATTCAAAAAGTAAACCACATCCATCAGGAATCTTCATTAAAAAAATAAAAATAAATAAAAAATCAGAGATCTCTAGTAGTAAGTAGAAGAGAGACAGAAGATGGTCACCTCTTGATGACCCTCCAAGTCCCTGTTTGACATGAAATTTCATCACTGACAGCCCAGTGAATAAAGTCTCTTGCAAGAACTTGCAGGTTTCAGCAAAAGTCAGGGAATTACAGAGTAAGGGAAAAAACCCCTTATTTTACAAACTGGGAAACTGAGGGAGGGGAGGAAGTCAGCTCTTGTGCATCTGTGCAAGTCAGCTGAGTTGAGTCTTTGCAAGTCCAGGCTTTCCTATGATCACTTGATCAATTAGGGGGAGTGGCTTTCAAGTGCTAGAGGGGAGGGTTAGATGGGCTATTGGGAAGGAATTGTTGGCTGTGAGGGTGGTGAGGCCCTGGTAGAGGTTACCCAGAGAAACTGTGGATGCCCCATCCCTGGAATTGTTCAAAGCCAGGTGGGAGCAACCTGGTCTAGTGGTCGGTGGCCCTGCTGATGGAGTGGGTTGGAATTCAATGATCTTTGAGGTGCCTTCCAACCCAAACCATTCCAGGATGCAATGAATTCAAGCATCACTTAAACCCATCACTGCTCTGAAGTTTCCTGTGTATTTTTGAAAACAGCCAAGGTGATGTGACCATCTCCTGACACAGAATGCCAGTGATCCATACAGGGAAAAGAGAAACCCTCCAATTTATGAGGAGATTAAATAGTGCTCTGGGTGCAAATAGTCTTTTAATTTAAATAGCATTTTACACTGGAGTCCTGGCCAGGTTAATAAGGGCTACCAGCAACAACTCAAGGAAGAACTATTGGGTGATGAAGTTAAAGCAGTCTTACAGTCTTTGGGAAAGGAAGAGGAAGATGTCCAAATCTGTATCTGATGTGCTAAGCAAATTTGGGGTGGATCTGCCCATTTCTATACCCAGTGACACAAATGGCAATAATTTGGCTGGTGTCACACTTTTGTGTGCCTTTGTTCCCCTGGCCGGATGGACCAGCAGAAGTGATTCATGCACTAGTTAAAATCAAGAGTTGCTGGTACCTCCTGTTGTGAAATAGTTCTCTGTAAAGACACAAGCTGCCAGGAAAGGAGAAAGGTGTGTTCTCTGTTTTCACTGCACTTCCTTTGGATCTGGGCACTGTGGTGGGAGTCCTCGTGGGTGTGTGGTGTGCATGGTGAGAAGATGAGTGGGATACTGTGAGTATGTGGTAAATTCTGTGTGGGGAAGAGCCATGGGTTTGATGGTGGGCAGGCTGGGGCTGAGGTGCTGTCTGGGGGGAAGTTGTGAAACTGGAAGTGAAAGTCTGGAGGCTTTCTTGAGGGATTTTGTGAAATCGGAAGTGCCCGAGGTGTGGTGAAGGACTGTGCTGAAAGACTGAAGTGGCAGGTGGGGTGTGGAGCTGCACTGAAAGAGCTCCTGCCACCAGAATTATTCACTGGGGGCAGAACAAGCAGAGGCTGGGAAGTTATGGGTGCTGAGGTGTGAATTTTGGGTGGATCCTCCTCCAGGGAAGGTCGGATGAAAATATAGGGACTAAATACGGTGATGAATTTTGTTGGGAGAGGCTGTGGGTCAGGAGAGGACAGTGTGGTGATGGGTGTGTTATGGTTGGGCAGGGACAATAGGGATGAGCAGCTGTGCTGATGGAGGTTGCAAAACCATCAGCAAAGGTGTTTTGGGAAAGGAATGAAAATTTCTCTGTGTAACCCCGAGCAGCAGTAAAGCATCATCTTCATGGGCTGTGAAACCAGAGCATCTCAGGGACATGGGTAGGAAACATCAATGCAAGAGGCAAGGGGTGGGTTTGTGTGGACAAAACTGGCTGGAAAGAGGAGAATTAGTAAAATAAAAATTGTTTCCATGACACTGTGAAGAGGGGAAGGGGAAGTGGTTCAGTTATCACACACACATGATGTTCTCCCCTGAAGAGCGATTGGCTGGTGTGTGTCATGCTGGCTTTTTAAAGTGTCTGATTAGCCCAGCACTGCAGTATTGACACAAGGACCTTGTCTGGACCCTATGCCACAGAATTCAGGGGACAATATTGCCCAGTAGATCCACACCAGGCAGCTGCTGCAAAGCCATCACTGAAATTCAAAGGAACCCACAAGAAGGTGAGAAATTCCTAGATGGATCTTTGCCATTGCACTCTAATGCTTTCTCTCAGGCTCTTGGGGAAATGGTGAGGGGAAGGGGGGAAAACCAAAAACAGTGGAGGAAAGGAGAAGATCAAATATTCTCCTGCTGGTTAGAAATTTACTGTAGGTCAGATCATTGTTGTGATCATTTTCAAGGTAAGAAGAACTTCGTTCCAGGGATGCTTTTCCATGAACAAGTGCTATTGGATTGCTCTAAATACACCTCTGTAATATAAATGTCATTATTTAGAGACCTGCATTACAGCAGCATAACTTTTTGTCCTTAGTCTAAGTGGTTTTGCAGGCAGGTTTTGCAGGTAAACCTGGTTAATTCCAAGACAGAAAAAGACCACCTGGACTCAGGCTGCTGCTGTTTGAGGAGAACTTTCACTAGTTAGTTTTATTAAGGAAGTAGATTCATGTCTGGAATGTGTCCTGGAGACAAGAATTCAGTCTTTCCAAGGGAATACAATGGCACTCAAATGTTCATGACCTCTCCAGATGGACTGGAAACTTGCTTCAGATTTGCACAGATATCTTGTGGCAGAGAGAGCAGTGCCTTGGGTCTTCTAAAGGCCAGGAAACCACCTTAACCACCGGGTCTTCCGCTGTCCTTGCAGCAGGGTTGCTGCCAAGAGTTTGATGCTGCTTCAACTAATTTCTGCTGTGAACCAAAATCTGATGATTTGTGGCCACCCCAGATGAGGGTGGAACAGCCACAAGGCTGGGCCCTAAAGTCTTGAGGTTAGACCTGAGGTCCCATAAGAGCTGAGGATGGGATCATCCACCACTATCTAACAGTGTGGTGCAGTGGCAGAAGTTCCCTGCTTTCAGTCAATCCTGAAGGAAATCACAGAATCCTGGAATGGTTTGGGTTAGAAGGGACCTTAAAGATCATTGCATTCCAGCCCCCTGCCATGGGCAGGGACACCTTCTACTGGAAGAGGTTGCTCCAGGCCCTGTCCAACCTGGCCTTGAAATTCCCTGCATCATGCATTTCTCTTGCCTCTGTCCATGCAAAACTATGGTCATTGTGTCTGGAGTGCTAGGATGAAACAACAGTGATTCAATCTGTCACATTTTTTGTTTTTGGAAGTCTGTATCCATGTGTTTTACAAAGAGAGAACAGAGGATTCGTGCTAGTTAGATGGTTCAGTGACATAGTTCCCAGTAATCCCTGTTTTGGCTTGTTCTTCTTTTTAACCCATCTCTCATGACGCTTCTCTGCCTACCATGTCCAAATTAGCAGCTGGCTGAGAGAGAGGGAGCAAAAACACCACAGTATGTGTTCTTATCAGAGAAAAGAAAAAAAAAGGCGTCAAACCTATTTTTCTACTTTTTCTTATTACCAAGGTTCTCATTCAGATCTCAGTACCATGGGGGAGGAAACAGTGAACTGCCTCAGGGAATGGGGTGAATTATCAGACCCATAAGTCCAGTCTCCTGTGAGGATGAGATATTTTGTGGTTTCTTACATATGGTTCTTACAGTTTCTGAGGAAGGGCTGACTGTGCCAGACCAAAATGTTTATTGTCTGTACATAGGACCAAAGAGAACAAACCAACCACATTAAGTGGCAAATTAATATCTTAATTAAAATAGAAATCAGTCATCAATATAAAAAAACTACCAGCTTTCTATAGAATGAAATGTTTCCATAGAATCATAGAATCACAGAGTGATTTAGGTTGGAAGGGACCTTAAAGCTCATCCAGTTCCAACCCCCTGCCATGGGCAGGGACACCTTCCACTAGACCAGGTACTTCCTACCATGTTTTCTGGGCATGCACATAGGACTGAACTCAACCAGTTTTTACACTAATTAAACATGTATTTTGGCTGCCTGGAGCCTTCACACTTCTGACAAGATTTTTGTCCCACCTAATCCTATCTCCACAGAACAATTATCCCCGAGTTGTTAACACTGACTTCTGTTTGGCTTTAAACTGACATTGGGTGGGTTTAGGTGGGATATTGGGAAGAAATTCTTCCTGTGAGGGTGGTGAGGCCCTGGCACAGGTTGCTCAGAGGGAGTCTGGAAGACCTGTCCTGGAGGTGTTTAAGGCCAGGTTGGACAGGGCTTGGAGCAACCTGGTCTAGTGGGAGGTGTCCCTGCCCATGGCAGGGGGTGGAACTGGATGAGCTTTAAGGTCCAAATTCTAGCTACAAAGACCTGGAACAAAACCAGGAACACCACTAGGTCACCATGATGGAAAGTCACCCTGAAGTTACCACCTCTGCCCTTTCTTTTTCCAGGTGTGTCTGGAATCACCCATTATGAGTTCCACAGCCACACCAATCTTCCTTCCAGCCACAACCACCCAGGCCCTTGGGACTAACCAGAGCGGGGCTGTGGGACAACAGGAGCCATCCTATGCTGTCTTGAAGTTCATGGAGAGCTTCTGCCTCATCAGCTCTGCCTGTGGGATGGTGGGGAACGCCCTGGTCCTGTGGTACCTGGGCTTCCGCATCCGCAGGAACCACTTCACAGTCTACATCCTGAACCTGGCAGCCGCCGACTTTGGGTACCTGCTCTGCATCGCCATCGAGACCGTCCAGTACCTGATGCAGTTCAACGTGGGGGTGCAGTTTGGGATATTCCTCTTCCTGGATCTCTCCATGTATGGGACCGGCCTGTACCTACTGACAGTCATCAGCATCGAGCGGTGCCTGTCTGTGCTCTCTCCAATCTGGTGCCGGGCCCACCGCCCCAAACACTTGTCTGCCATCATCTCCGGCCTGCTCTGGGCTCTGTCCCTGCTGCTGAACACACTGGGGTACATTCTGTGCACCATCCGCCCCTCTCCCAAGCTCTGCCAGAGCCTGCTCATCACCATCGGGACCTTCGACTTCCTCATCTGCGCACCCCTCATGCTGCTCTTCAGCCTCACTCTCTTCCTCAGGGTCAAGTGCAGCTCCCAGCACTTCCAGACGGGCCGGCTCTTCACCATCATCATGCTCACCATCCTCCTCTTCCTCATCTTTGCCGTGCCCCTCAGCATCCTCATCCTCTTCGACTTCCTGGGCTACAAATTTCTCTACTCCCCAGAGATTGGCTTTGTGCTGTCCTGTGTCAACAGCACCCTCAACCCTGTCATTTACTTCCTGGTGGGAAGCTACAGGGATCGGAGATTCAAGCTCACCCTTGGGCTGGCATTCCAGAGGGCCTTTGAAGAGTCAGGGGACGACAAAGATGAGCGGGAAACCAGGGACTCAGTAACTATGTCCTCCTAAAAGCCTGGTCTAGAGACAAGAGTGGGCAGAGTTGAAGAACTCCAAGGTTTTGGGGAAGGTTCATTGCACCTGACCTTCAGTATCCTCACTGTAGATAGTTCAGCTGATTAAATGAGTTCTGTCCATGATCAGTGAAATCACACAAGGACCTGGACCACAGAATTTTCTTGAGCTGTATTTGGACCACAAGTGACTATTAAAGAACATTAATTTGATAAGGTGAAATGTCTTGGTGTCTGAATTTCCTCAAAGGAATCTTGCTTAGAATTTGCACTTCACTCAATAAATCCCTGTCATTCCTAAGTGCGTGAATTCTCAGTCACTTTTCACTCGGATCGCTGAAGATGAGATGAGAAACAACCTTCCTCCTGTTGAAATCAAACATAAAACTCCTGCAAGAAGGAGGAATTTATCCCACTTAATTTTAAATACCCATATCTGAGCACCCTTTTGCAGCTCAGAGAGCCATTCTGGGCTTCCTAATGTGAACATGTCAAAGAGTGACGTTATTTTAATTTCTTCCAGCCCTGGACAGACTTTCTGCATTTAACTAAAGTGTGAATTGCTTGTTGTTTCTTCCTTGAAAAGGACAGATAAGAATCCATGGCTTTTAAATCTCCTTTACCAATAAAAATAATTTCAAGATTAGGGAAAAAAATACAGGAAACAGAAAAAGGTAAATAAATAACATGAATTGGAACAAATTACTCTATAGACCCAATCCCTTGAGGTACAAGATGGGATTATTCGTCCTATAAAACTACCTAATATTTATTCTTTGAACCAAAATTGTTAGGAAAAGGAAACATAGGTAATTTTCTTTGAAAAACCTTCACTCCTTTATCTGGAATTGTTTTCCTAAAGGAAAGCTTCTTTTTTCTATTATTTTTTACATTTTTTTCTGTTTCTTTACCTTTTTATTTATTTGAAAAGCATCACTTAAAAGAATTAATGATTCACCCTAATGCCTGTAGTTGCTTTTTGTTTCCTGTTTTGAGCTCCTGAAAGCTGAAATTTGAGTCCCATTTCTACTATTCTCTAATTTTTAATGCTATTTTTCCATAATGTACATACAGGTGATTCAGAATTTTTTCCCTTGGGATCTCTTGGGACCTCTCACAAAGAAGCTGTTTTTAAATCACCTTAAAATGAAGAAGGAATGAGCCCATAAAGTCCAATTTCTTCTGAACACAGACCAAATTTTAGGGCACTGACTTGCAGTCTTCTCTGAGTAGAGGAAATGACTAATGGAAAGAAACTTTGGAAGATAAATAGGATAGAAAATATCCTCCTTCACTGACAGATATTCCGGGGTTATATAGATTTTTTCTGTGCTGGTAATTATATTAATATTAGCACACACTTAATTGCTTTGTTTTATTGTTCTGTGTTCTTAATTGATGAATCTCATGAATATTTGGCAATATGATTTTCTCCATCTTCTTATCCATTATGGCTATTCTGGAGCTTCCTTAGGATGTCTTTCCGTCATAGCTGTGCTTTGCACTAGGGAGGGATCTGAGAAGAACCAGAAATCCTCATTGCACAATATGTATGGGAGGAAATAAGACTTGAATTACTGTCAATGACAGAACTAAATATAAGGCAAATTGTAATTAAAATAAACAGAGGGTAAAATGAAGAGAGAAAATGGGGACTGGACCAGACAAATAGCTTTTTATTTAATGCACAGGAAGAACTCGACTGAGCCCAAGGAGACAGAGTTTATTCCCTGGGAATGGGGCAGTAAGGGTCATTCCAGGGGAATACAGCCAGGGAACAGGACTGAGCCCAGATACCCTGGCTCTGAGCCACGTGCCCTCAAGCCCCCACACTTCTGGCTGTCTGTGAGGTGCCACATCTCCAGGTCACCTCACCAGCAGTGCCTTACAGAGAGGTCACCTCCACCACAGTGTCCCAACACACGTGGCTCCTCTCCTCATTCCCTGCTTTCTCTTCAAAGGCACGTCGGAGCGCAACTTTGACAGAGCAATGGAAGCGGCACTGTCGGCAGCTCCCCACCAGGACATAAATCACAGGGTTCAGGCAGCAGTCCAGCAATGCCAGCAGCAAAGAGGTGTTGTCAGGGAATATTTCATCAGAATTGAGAATATTGAGGAAAATCTCTAGGCAGAAAGGAATGCCAAGAGCGAAGAAGACAATGACTTCGATCAGGACGGCAACATAGAGCCTCCCTGGGTGTTGTCTCTGGGAGCCACAGTGGAGCTTGGTGAACAGGAACAGGTTGGAAACCAACATCAAGACTGACAAAATCATGGAAAACACCAGGGCTACATCTGATAGAACTTCCTCAGAGTCTTTGGTTGACGTGAAGTAGAGCAAGGAGACAAAAACCCCGGCGAGGGCCCAGAGTGTCCCGCTCACGATGCCCGACAGGTGCCTGGGGCGGTGGCAGCGGTACCAGATGGGGAAGAGGACGGACACACAGCGCTCCACACTGAGGGCTGTCAGCAGCCCCAGGCTGCTCAGGTCAAACACGTGGCACAGAAATCCAACCACAAATACAAAATCTGCATAGAGAGGAGCAAAATGAAGCAAAGAAGTACAAAATACTTTTAAGGTCAAAAAGGCTAATAGAATCAGGAAATACAGGAGGATGAGGGAGAAGTCAGCAACAGCCAGGTTTAGGATGTAGACAGTGAAAGGGCTCTGCTTCATGTGGAAACCCAGGAACCACATGACCATCCCATTCCCCACCAGCCCACAGAGGGAAATCCCCAGGCAGACACCCCCAAAGACAATCAGTTTGTACGAAATGATCGAGCAAGTATCGTTGATAAATTCCTCAATGTCCAGAGATCCATAAGTCATGTTCAGAGTGAGGTTTCTTGTGTCAGTCTCCTCCATGGCGAATGACCCTGCTCCAGGTGGCCGCCTTCTCCCTTTCCCACCACCTCCTAGGAGAGACAGGGAACCAGAAGGGAACGAGGGCCATCAGTATTCCCAGCACCCACCACCTGTCCCCATGCTCCCATGTCAGACCCAGGAAGAACCTCATTGCCCTGCTGTGCCCAGGACAGGCTCCCACCCCTCCAGCCCTGTCCCTGGGCAGGAGACGTCTCCCACCTGTCCATCCCTGCACTCCTACCTCCTGGTGCTCCTGGGAACAGGGCTGTCACAGGAGCCCTGGCACATGGGACCTCCAGGCCTGCCAGGAGAGCAGGTCTGGTGGTGGCTGCTGGAACCACCCGCTGTGCTTCAGCCTCATCCCTTTTGCCAGGGGTGCAGATCTTCAGCCAGAGATCACATCCCCTGGTCAGGAGCCTCCCCTCACAATCTCTCCACATCGGTGACAGTTTCCCCTCACATGTCCTGTGTGCGGAGATCTTGTCAGTAGGAGTTGACCACGTCACCCCCTTCCTCTCCCCCTACCATTCTCCATCATGTAAGGGGCTTCTGGCTTTCTCTGTGTGTGCCTGCTGGTCCATCTGTCAATGCAGCAGGGGATATAAATCATTCTCAGGGATGGAGGGCGAGAGAGATGAGCCAGACACCTTCAAGAGTGAGCAGTCACTGATGTGTAGACATGCAACAGCACAAGGGCTTTGCTCGGTGCCTCTAATGACATGTAACTGGTGCTCAAAACCTCTCCCAGCTTTCTTCTGGGATACGCTTCCAGGACCTGCACCTGTCTGTAGATCTGTCTCCATCCCCCACTCATTCAGGGACTTTCAGCCTATGCCTTGTTTCAAGTCTGCCTCTGGCCCCAACTCCTGCAGCTCCAGGCTGGACACCCTGGAGAGACTGTAGACCTTGGTCATTAACAAGGATGTCCTTGGAGGACACGGGTCTTGGGGATGACATGGCTAGGATATAACTCCAAAGGAGACAGAAAACACATGGAAGAGGGAGAGAAAATATGCAAAACAATGCACAGTCCCTGTCCTGTGAAAGGTTGAGATTGTGAGGCAGGAACCCCCTGGAGATAAGAGCACATTGGCAGCACCATGTACCCCACAAAAAGTAATCTCAGAGGAGACACATGTCTGACAGGGGTATGATTAGAGGCAGTGGGCAAAGCCCTCGTACTGTTCTGTGTCTGGGCACTGGTGATTTCACACAGCAAGTGGAGGCAAGGCCAGTGCTTGGCCCCACAGGCTCATCAGAGGACAGTTTTGACCCAGGATTCTCAGCACCTGGAAGGACAAAATATTATCTATGCTCTCCCCTCCTTCTCCATAGCTTTAAATTCATTTATATGGCATTTAAAATTATAGAGTCCTAGTGCCTGTATTAATGGGGTCATAATAGATCAGCACCTCCTGCTGTAGAACGAGGGATGGAGAGGAAGGGGGTGACGTGGTCAACTCCTACTGACAAGATCTCCGCACACAGGACATGTGAGGGGAAACTGTCACCGATGTGGAGAGATTGTGAGGGGAGGCTCCTGACCAGGGGATGTGATCTCTGGCTGAAGATCTGCACCCCTGGCAAAAGGGATGAGGCTGAAGCACAGCGGGTGGTTCCAGCAGCCACCACCAGACCTGCTCTCCTGGCAGGCCTGGAGGTCCCATGTGCCAGGGCTCCTGTGACAGCCCTGTTCCCAGGAGCACCAGGAGGTAGGAGTGCAGGGATGGACAGGTGGGAGACGTCTCCTGCCCAGGGACAGGGCTGGAGGGGTGGGAGCCTGTCCTGGGCACAGCAGGGCAATGAGGTTCTTCCTGGGTCTGACATGGGAGCATGGGGACAGGTGGTGGGTGCTGGGAATACTGATGGCCCTCGTTCCCTTCTGGTTCCCTGTCTCTCCTAGGAGGTGGTGGGAAAGGGAGAAGGTGGCCACCTGGAGCAGGGTCATTCGCCATGGAGGAGACTGACACAAGAAACCTCACTCTGAACATGACTTATGGATCTCTGGACATTGAGGAATTTATCAACGATACTTGCTCGATCATTTCGTACAAACTGATTGTCTTTGGGGGTGTCTGCCTGGGGATTTCCCTCTGTGGGCTGGTGGGGAATGGGATGGTCATATGGTTCCTGGGTTTCCACATGAAGCAGAGCCCTTTCACTGTCTACATCCTAAACCTGGCTGTTGCTGACTTCTCCCTCATTCTCATGTTTTTCCTGATTCTAGTGTTTTTTTTTATCTTAGTAACATTTTGTACTTCTTTGATTGAACTTGCTCCTCTCTATGCAGATTTTGTATTTGTGGTTGGATTTCTGTGCCACGTGTTTGACCTGAGCAGCCTGGGGCTGCTGACAGCCCTCAGTGTGGAGCGCTGTGTGTCCGTCCTCTTCCCCATCTGGTACCGCTGCCACCGCCCCAGGCACCTGTCGGGCATCGTGAGCGGGACACTCTGGGCCCTCGCCGGGGTTTTTGTCTCCTTGCTCTATGTCACCTACACCTTCAGTGAACACTCTGGGGAAGTTCTTCCAGGTGTAGTCCTGGCGTTTTCAGTGATTTTGTCAGTCTTGATGTTGGTTTCCAACCTGTTCCTGATCACCAAGCTCCTCTGTGGCTCCCAGAGACGACACCCAGGGAGGCTCTATGTTGCCATCCTGCTCAACATCATTGTCTTCTTCGCTTTCGGCATTCCTTTCTGCATGGATGTTTTCCTCAATCTTCCCAGTTCAGGGGATTTATTCCCTGAAAATGACATCCCTCTGCTGCTGGCATTGCTGGACTGCTGCCTGAACCCTGTGATTTATGTCCTGGTGGGGAGCTGCCGGCGGCGCCGCTTCCATCACTCCGTCAAAGTTGCACTCCGACGTGCCTTTGAAGAGAAAGCAGGGAATGAGGAGAGGAGCCACGTGTGTTGGGACACTGTGGTGGAGGTGACCTCTCTGTAAGGCACTGCTGGTGAGGTGACCTGGAGATGTGGCACCTCACAGACAGCCAGAAGTGTGGGGGCTTGAGGGCACGTGGCTCAGAGCCAGGGTATCTGGGCTCGGTCCTGTTCCCTGGCTGTATTCCCCTGGAATGACCCTTACTGCCCCATTCCCAGGGAATAAACTCTGTCTCCTTGGGCTCAGCAGATGAGTTTCATGGTGTTTTGTGGATCTCTTGGCTGGAGAGGGTGTGTCATAGTAAACCCTGGGGATATATCCAGCGCAGGACAGCGTTCATTTCACAGGTCTCTTAGGGGCTGACACCTCTAGATGGCAGGAGAGGGGTTGGGATCGCACGGAACACCCTTCCCTTTCTGTCCCAAGAGCAGATCGGCAGAGCCGGCTCTGCATCCCCGACTTTTGGGAAAGGAAACAACCCTACGCCAGGCAGGGCTGCAGATCTGGGGAAGGAACTACAACATTCCCTTGCACTTTAAGTGGGACTTTATCTGATTCTTTAATTCCAGAACTGAATCATTCTGAGTAAAGTGTAGATTCACTAGTGCTGGGAAATTACAAGAGGTATGTTCCTGGTACTCATGTTCACATCAGTAAGTTGTTGCCCATGGGAATCTGTGGATGATCCATCCCTGGAAGTGTTCCAGGCCAGGTTGGGCAGGGCTTGGAGCAACCTGGTCTAGTGGAAGATGTCCCTGCCCATGACAGGGGGTTGGAACTGGATGTGTTTTAAGGTCCCTTCCAACCCAAACCACTCTGTCATTCTGTGAGATAACACAGAGCAGCTGAGAATGTCTGATGCCAAATATCACCTCTCTGATGCCAGAGAGCGGCACAGCTGGCAAATACCAGCTCTGGCACAGACCACAAAGCCCTCTCCAGACTCGGCTCCCAACCATGCCGCGAAGCAAGGCAGGGCATCACTGGATCAGACGGGCTTGGCAAGCTACACACACTAATTCCTGTGCTCTCTCTGCTCGTACCAATTCCACTGAACACACCTTTGCACCCATGACCAAAAAGAGCTTGAAATATGGAAATTCACAGAAGCAGATGCTTGGACCACTGAAATTTTTAGAAATTAGGGGGGTTACACTGCTATTCTGCAGAATGGGGTCATCCTTTAATTCCCTGGCATCAATATGAAGAGGAAGCCAATTTGCCACTTCCATCCTAAACCTGGCCACCCTCAGGAGGACCTGAACAGCAACTCTGCACAGTGGCTTTAATGACTAATCAAAATCCTGGTTGTACCAATCTTTCTGACTTTGTTACTACTGCTGAATAAAATTTGTATTTCTTTCTTGTTTGTTTCCAACATGGTCACTCTGACCCTGAAATTTGTTAAATAAACAGCGTCTGGGCTTTGCTGCAGAGCTTGTCACTGGTGAACAGAGCAAGGCTGACTCAGCATCAGAAAATGGTTCATTTCCTCTATTTCTTCTCATTCTAAAGCCTCTAAAGCCTATCCTTCAGATACTTATTTCAGAAAGGGCTGACAGACATGGAGGGGAGAGAGAAGCAGGGAAAGCGCTGCCACTGCCCCTCTACCCAGAGAATTCCTGAGCCAGGCTACAGGGATTGAGTCCTCATGGCCTCAACAGGCTCTTTTCCATGAAAGGTCCAGTCTTCCTTTTCCTTCCTTCTCCCTGTATCCTCTTTCACATAGAAAATCTCACCTTTGCTGAGTCTTCAGGCAGAGCTCATTTAATTTTAACCCTCCTTCTTTTTTTTTTCCCAGATGAGGAACAGAGTCTCCAGAAGTGGAGCCAGCCCTCAGGTCATGGTTGTGACACTCTGTTCAAGCTAAAACCATCCACACAGCCCAGAGAAAAGTGGGAGGATCCGCAGGAGGCAGTTCCAGCCCCAAATCCTTGTGTGCAGACAGGCCACATGATGTGCAGACCAAACTCAGTGTGCAGCAGGAGCGATGTACTTTTGGGGAGAACCTTCCAGAGGGGATCCCAAACACACATTCCTACTGCCCCTGATAACAAAGCTGAATGTGAAGTCTCCACATAGTATCCCCATGTGTCAGGACCTGCTGGTCAGGAATTGTCCAGGAATTGTTCTGCACTGCTGTGCCAAGATATTCACCTACACTCTGTTTTTAAGCAGACACACCAAAAAAACCCCACTGGCAGGAACTCTGAACCTTGGTGACTTGGTTTTAATAGTCCACAGGGTAGAGAAGCTCAGTTTTGAGACAGGGAAAGCTCAGACCTGTTGAATAGGAAAGATTCAAAGCAGATTTCAAAGCAACAAGTTTCATGAGTGTCCCTGCGTATGGTGGGGGGTTTGGAACTCAATGATCTGTAAAATTCCTCCCAGTCCGAACCACTCTGTGATGATTATTCATCACATCATCCAGCATCCACCCCAGGCAGGAGTTCCCCTGCCACCCACCACGTTTCCTTGTGCTGCAGTTAATTCCACTCAGCTACAGCTAGACCCACATCAGTATTGCCCCAGGGCACGTCCATCCCCAGAGCATCTCAGAATCATAGAATTGGGGTGGCAGGGGTTTAAACAGTTGGTTTAGGGTGGATATTAGGAAAAGTTTCTTTACCAGAAGGTGATCAGGCACTGGAACAGGGTCCCCAGGGACCCTGACGGAGCTCAAGGAGCATTTGGACACACTCTCAGGCACATGGTGGGATTGTTGGGGTTGTCCTGTAGAGGGCCAGGAGTTGGACTCAATGATCCTCATGGGTCCTTTCCAACTCAGGATATTTTATGATTCTATTTTATGATGATTTCATTTTATGATGATTCCATTTTATGATGATTCCACTGTGTTGTCTCTATTTTGAGGCTCTGACACATCTTCAAAAGTCCTCTGGAAGGCAGCACTAACAGAGAGTGTGAACTTCTTTGCACAGCTCCCAGCCAAGAAGTAAATAAGAGGGTGGACGCTGCTGTTGGCACAGGCGAGCGGGAGGGAGGCGCTGAGGACAAAGACAGAAAAATCAAACACCCTGAGCAAGAGCCAGTACCCAAAATCAGCAGTGGAGAAGGGGAAGAAGATGACAGCCAGAAGGACCACAGCACAGAGCTTCCTTGGAGGATGTTTCCATGAGCAGCATAGGAAAACAAGCAGGGTTAGACCAGAGCAGATCAGGGTGAGCACCGATAAGAGGTAGCTCAGGACAAAGGCGATGAGTGCTGAAGGGTGGGAGTAGAGGGTCATGGTGAGCAGGAAGGAGAGGACCCAGAGCAGGGCACACAGGAGCACTGGGAAGTGCTGAGAGTGGTGGCAGGGACAGTGGGACATGGGGAGGACAGACAGAGCTGTCACAGCACTGAAGGCTGTCAGCAGGTAGACACTGGCAGTGAAGGCAAACAAGATGATGATGTTCAGCACAGTTGTCACTCCCTGTGAGCCCAGCTCATGACAGAGGCTCTCTGGGACGTAATATATCCCCAGAGTGATGGTGATGGAGAGGAGGAAGGTGAAGTCAGCGATGGCCAGGTTGAGGATGAAGATGGTGACGGGGTTCCTGTGGATGTGGAAACCAAGGAGCCAGAGAACAGCCCCATTCCCAACCATCCCACAGAGGCAGATGAGGAGTGTGACAGGGACTTTGCTCAAGTGGTTGCTTTCACAGTCGGTCCAGTTGTAGGGGTTGTCCTCACTCCAGTTCCTGTTAGATGCCATCCCACTGGATTGGCTCCAGCAATCGGGGCTGGCTCTTTCCGTGGCAGAGGATGTATCCATTGTGACACCTCTGCTGCTTCTCCTTCCCCTCACACAGCTGGACGGGGGAGAAACAGAGACACCTTAGCAACACTCTGTCCACCACATGTGGCTTTTCCCATCTTGTCCCATGCCCCAACTTCCACATGGGGGAGTACAGAGAGAGGTAAGGGACAGGACAAATGGAAAATAGGATGTGGGATGTGGATATGAACATGCCTGGCACAAAAGCCAGGGATATGCCTCCTTCCTGAATTTGGACAGGACAGATCTGGAGGAGGAAAATAATTGAAGAAGGACATCTTTGGAGATATCAAAGAATGAGAGGCTTTGGGGTGTGTCTGATCTGGATTCTTAGGTCTCTAATATTGTAGTTGATATCACTGACCTGCTGGGTTCCTTCAGCAGGACACTCATTTCAGTATCCCCCCTCCCCCCCACCTTTTCCCATAATATTTATAGGTCTTAATACCCTAAAGACTGCTATTCCCTGATCAGATTTGGTGAAAATTGATGACCAGGTTCCACACCAGTGGGGGGGGATGACACTGATTAAGCTGAAAAAACCCACCCAGAAGAGTCTGACCTTCTTTCCTCTCGCAGCCCGAAGAATTCCACTGGAGCAGACGCGCTGCGGTCTCACATCATCTCACACGCGCCAGCTGCTGTCCCTGGAATGGGATCTCCACGAGTTTTGCTGGAATTATCACTTGGAAAATGGGAGCGAAGCCTTCCTGGTGAGTCTGAGCAGCGTCTGGCATGGGGTCTGTCCCTGGTCCTTTCACATCCCCCTTTTCTCAGTGTTGACTCATGTTCTCGAGGGCTCTTGCAAAGGGGGAACTATTCCCCCGCCTGTGACGGTAGAAGGGTTCTGGTTCTAATCTACTCTTGGCTTTGTACAGGAAATGACTAACAAAAGAGAGCCTCAGAAAAGAGACCTATGGGAAAAGAATTTGTCTCCGTGTCAGGTTCCTCTTTCCTTTTAAAGCAACCCCAATCTCAAAATATGATCTTTGAACTGGCTGAATTTTTCTCCTCCCATTCCAGGGGTGGATCTTTAGGACCCTGCACTACAAACTTGCTGGGAAACTTCGATTTCTGCTTCAAATCTGATTTTGCCTCTTGTATACCACAAACTCAGTGATACTTGACCTGTGCCACACAGTTTCCAAGAGGATTCTGCTTTGTGTGTCAAGGAGCTCGTGGAATAATAAAGTCTGGGCATGAGATGCAGCATGGGCAGATGGCAGAGGGATGATTCAGGATTTCAGGAATAGAAGATGGGTGAATCAATGCTGCTTGCCTGGCTTTAGCCATTGGGAAGTTACAGGGCTCGTCTAAGTTGTCTTCCACACTCCCTTTGGAGTCATTCAGCACCCAAATTTAATTCCATGGAATTTCTAGAAAGCTGGAGTGAGGTGAGATGATTCCCACCCAGACATGCATCTGGGAGCAGAGATATTCCTGCTGAGAACTGGCATGTGTGAGGACCCAAGGACCAGAACTGCCTCCTCTCTTCCTTGCTGATGCTGTGTTTGTGTCCAAAACTGGAATCCAAATCTCACATCCTCTCACCAAGCTGACCCTTTACAGTGCAAACAGGTCATGATACAGTATCTAAAGGTCCTCCAAGAGACAAAGACACTGACAGAGAGGGGGTTTAGATTGGATATTGGGAAAAAATTATTCCCTGTGAGACTGGCACTGAAACAGGTTGCCCAGAGAAACTGTGGCTGCCCCATCAAGTCCTGTGCTTGATTAAAGAACAGAATTCCCCAAGATCTCTCATCTTCTGCTTCCCTGAACAACGTCCTGAGCATGTTCTCTAGAAATCTGGATTTCCCACACGAGATTTACAAACATCAGTTGTTTATTTATGTGAAGGTCAGGTTTGTATATGTACAAAGGAAATCACCATGTGCAAATATTATGGCTCTGGTAGCAGCATGGGGAAGCTGATATCTCATCTGGCAGGAAAAGCTCAGCCTCCTAGAGGATTCCTCCTGTACTTCTCAGCCTCTATTTCTGTCTCTTCTGGGTCTTGTAGTTTGTTCCATGGGCTTCTCCACCCCCAGTACAGAATTTCTCTTTCCCACAGCTGTCAGACCCTCTTTGCCAGTCTGTCTGACCCCAGAGTGCTGGTCAACACAGCACTTTCCTCTTTTCCCATCCCTTCCTGCCTCCCCAGTCAAACCCCCTTGGAGGTTTAAGGTTGGTCCCTTGGAGGATGAAGATTTGGCTGCTGGATGATGGTGCCAGCAGCACTTGGATTTTCTCTCCATCCCTGTGGCACAGGAGAACACTGAGCCAGAGGGAGCTGAAAACATAATTTCTGTCCCTCACCATCATCTCCTCTGGTCTGGGGGCTTTTGAGGATCAAGGTGGTGAGAACAGGAGCACAGATGAGACAGGACTTTCTGGGCCACATCATTTCAGTGTGATGAACTAATTGGCAGCATGAGACTGTCACAACTGTGACTTTAGAAATATGCACAGGCAGCTCATGAGCCAGAAAGGGAAGGAACTGCAGTCCCCAGTAAATTACATGAAAAAAAATTTATTATAATAATTTAAATATAAATTTGAGGTGGGAACCAGCCCTGCCCCCAGAAATCTCAAGTATGCCCTTGTCCTGGGGATGCTCAACTCATCCAGACAGGCAAAGGTTCTGCTCCCACTGTGCAGAGGTAGGGTTGCCTCTCTTCTAGTGCCAGCTGGCACCCACAGGGATTTAGGCAGCAGTTCCCACCACAGGGGTCTCACCCACCTCTTGGGAATCAGCCCTGTCCTCAAAGACCCTCTGTAGAGCCACTTTGACAGATCCCCTGAGCCGGGGCTTCCCGTAGCTCCCAACCAGGACATAAATAATGGGGTTGATGCCGCTGTTGACAGAGGCGAGCAACAGGCAGATCTCAAAGACAAGGTTAGTGTAGACAAAGAAGTTGAGGAAAATCTGTATGCTGAGTGGGACACCAAAAAGGAGGAAGGAGAAGACAGTGAGGAAGATGGCGACATAGAGCCTCAGGGAGTGGTGCTGCCAAGAGCTCCGCCTGAGCTTGATGAAGACGATCACGTTGGAAACAACCATAAGAGGAGTCAAAACACAGAAACTGAGGAAGCACAAGGTTCCCAGAACCACCCAGCAGTGCTCAGAGTGCCCCAGGTCACACACGAAGTACACTAGCCCAGCCAGTACGCAGGCAAGCGCCCACAGCAGGCTGCACACCACGGGGGACAGGAGCCTCGGGCGGTGGCACCGGCACCAGAAGGGCCAGAGGACACCCACGCACCTCTCCACACTGATGGCTGTGAGCAGGTACAGGCTGGTGCTGTACGTGAGCAGGACCATGGAGTGGAACAGCGGCAGCGCCCGTGGCACCTCCGCGCGGGAGCGGCTGAGCATGGGCATGTGGTACATGAGGAGGAAGGCCGAGGTGCAGAGCAGGAAGCAGGTGTCAGCCAGGGCCAGGTTCAGCAGGTAGGCACTGAAGGGGTTCCTGCGGACACGGAAGCCCAGGAGCCAGAGGATGGCCCCGTTGCCCAGCAGCCCGCACAGGCAGGTGAGCAGGGTGAGGCCGCCCGTGAGCAGCTCCGGGATGTGCTCCACAAAGCACCCAGTGCCATTGTGTCCATCCCCGTAGTCCAGGCTCTCTGTGGGAGTTGGGAACACTGAAAGCCAGTCGTGGGTCATGTGGCTGGGGTGCTGGTCCATCTTCCTTGTGCTCACCTGGGGACCCGCAAGAGATGAAGGCAAAATTAGGGACTTTAGGGTGTCCAGTACCTGCACTTTGGTAATTCAGTGTTCCCCATCCTCCAAGGGCTTCAACATCTGCAACTCAGAGAACATCAACACTGGGAAGAGGGGAGTAGGGAAGGGAAGCAAGAGAAATAGGGACTGGAGGGAAAATTCTGGGCCCAGGGTGGCAGGAAATAGACAGGGAAGGTTTGGGAAGGTTTGGGAAGGTTTGGGAAGGTGTGGGAAGGGAAGGTTTGGGAAGGTTTGGGAAGGGAAAGGAAGGGAAAGGAAGGGAAGGAAAGGGAAGGGAAACAGGAGAAATGGAAAGGATCAAAGAAATCAAGAGAAAGGGAGGGACATGGTGGCAGAAGACAGACAGAGAGCTGAAACGGGAGTAGAGAGAGAAAGGAAAGGCATCCAGAGCCATTTGCCCTTTATGAGTAGAAAAGGGCTGAGGAGAAGAATGGGAAGAATGGAAAGATGGAGGAAGAGCAGATGTGAGCCCAGACCCGTCTCACCAGTCACAGAGGTTACAGAGAGAGCACAGTCCTTGCACAGCCTTGGTGTCCCAACGCTGCAGACTCCAGTCCCCTCTGCCAGCGCTGCACATGAAACTTCACAAGGCTGACATGCCCAAATTGTCTCAGGCAAGATCTGGCCACCAGCACCACTGTGAATCCATGCTGAGGGCCTTCAGCAGTCCGTGCTCTGGCTCCCCACCTCTCCCTCAGGAGTGACCCCTGGGTGTGAGCAAGGGTTGGGTCCTGGGTGTGAGCTGTGCTCCCAGCCAGGGCTGGGTCATCCCTCTGAGAGCAGGGGAAGTGTCCTGCCCGAGTGCCACCCCACGGGACGGGCGTCGCAGCCCCGTTTGCTGGTTCCTTCAAACACTTCCTCTTTGCAAACCTGGCGTCACGTTGAGCACAGAATTTTCATCTTCCTCCTCATTTGCTTCTCCTCTGTGCCTGGTGGCAACATCCCTGAGGTGTGTTCGTGGAATCCTGGAATAGTTTGGGCTGGGAGGGACCTTAAGGACCATCCAGTTCCAACCCCCTGCCATGGACAGGGACAGGTTCCACTATCCCAGGTTGCTCCAAGCCCTGTCCAACCTGGCCTTGAACACTTCCAGGGATGGGGCAGCCACAGCTTCTCTGGACAACCTATGCCAGGGTCTCACCACCCTCAAGGGAAGAATTTCTTCCCATTATTCAGTATAGACCCACCCTCAGGTGTAAAGCCATTCCCCCTTGTCCTGTCACTCCATATCCCTCTCCATCTCTTTCTCAGTTGGTGGGGAAAGTAAAGCCTGCAGCCATTAAGCAATATTACCCAAATGTTTGTGAATAATGTTAAATATTTGTTTAAAATTATGTTAATGTGAAGAGTAAATAATGAATAGTAATTAATAAACACTACTAATAGTAATTAATAATATTAATAGTAAATCCTAAAGTGCAGGTGGTAAATAATAAACTGTGGGTGGTAGGTAATAAACAGTACATAGTAAAGTAGGGAATAAATAGTAAACAATAGATGATAAGTAATAAATAGCAATAAGTAATAAACAGTAAATACAAAGAGCGAATAACAAATCTGAGAGGAGTGGCCTTAAAGGGAAAGATAGATTTAGATTGGATATTAGGAAGAAATTCTTCCCTGTGAGAGCCTGGCACACATTTCCCAGAGAAGCTGTGGCTGCCCCATCCCTGGAAGTGTTCAAGGCCAGGTTCAATGGGGCTTAGAGTAACCTGATCTAGTGGAAGGTGTCCCTGCTCATGGCAGGGGGTGGAACTGGATGAACTTTAAGGTTCCTTCCAATGCAAACTATTCCAAGATCCTATGATACTATGAAAAATGACTCTACAATCCCAACACATTAAAGATCCAGCCTAACTGGATTCTCACTTCCTATGAACTTTATCAGGTAAAAGAGAGGCTCAGCAATAACAAAAGGCACAGAAGACATTCCTGCCATCCCCGGACTAACGTCTCCATCTGCTCCACTAAACCTCCCTGGAATAAAAATGACCATCTCTTTATGAACCCCGTGTACTGATTTGAAATGACAGTGATGTTTCCAGCTGGCCTCCACATTTGCAGCAGGGAATTCCCAAGTCTCCAGCCAGTTGTGATGTGTTTATCTCATTTCCCAGCTGAGTGGCTGGAGGGAGGTGGGTGGAAGCACATGCTGAGCTGAAAGAGGGGTTGAGATCAGCTTGAAAAAGAGGCCGTGCCAGTGCAACTCAGAATGACTCAGCCTTTAACTATTTATTTAGCCTTAAAATAAAAAACAAACAGACAAAAATCCCTAAAAAGTACCTTGGTGTCAACACACAGTGATCTCTTTGGGAACAAACATGTAACTTGGAAGATATCACCTGTCTGCACATACAGCAAGTGGCAAGACAGCTGGAGGAGTTAATTTCTGGAAGCTTAAAATACCTGAGGGATCAGTGGGTGGATTCATTCAGAAATCCTCTGGGTGCTGCTGATGCACAGTGAGATAGATAGATAAAGATATAGACAGATATAGATAGAAATAGATATAGATGATAGATATAGATAGATATACAGATATAGATATAGATATAGATTAGATATAGAGATAGAGATAGAGATAGAGATAGAGATAGAGATAGAGATAGAGATAGAGATAGAGATAGATAGAGATAGAGATAGAGATAGAGATAGAGATAGAGATAGATATGCACCTCTTCTATGGAAAGGCTGAGAGAGTTGGGGTTGTGCAGCCTAGAGAAGGCTCCAGGAAGACCTTAGAGCATTTTCCACTGCCTAAAGGGGCTCCAAGAGAGCTGGAGAGGGACTTTGGGCAAGGGCCTGGAGTTACAAGACTAGGGGGAATGGTTTCACACTGACAGAAGGTGGGTTTACATGGGTTATTGGGAAGAAATTCTTTGCTGAGAGGGTGGTGAGGCCCTGGCACAGGTTGCCCAGAGAAGCTGTGGCTGCCCCATCCCTGGAAGTGTTCAAGGCCAGGTTGGACAGGGCTTGGAGCAACCTGGGCCAGTGGAAGGTGTCCCTGCTACCAAAGGGGTGGGATCAGGTAAGAACAACCACAAGTGCTCCCAAACCTGAGGGGTAGGAGGATGTGCTGCTGGTGAAGGGCTGGGATGGGGATCACAGCACCCCAAAATCTGGTCTCCAATAGCTTTCATTGCATCACTAAAGGTATTAGCAGTAATTAATCTGGGCTGTAAGTGCTCATAACCTGGTTGCAAACAACTGCTTGCTGCCCTTCACTTGGGCTGTCAGGGCCTGTGTTAGAATGGCAAAAACTGGAATTCTTGGCTCCAGTTTGCAGGTATGTTCCCTTGGGCCCAGAGGAGGTTTTGGCAATGATCCCAGTGCTCTTTCCGGAATGAGAGTTGCTTCTGAGAAGTACCCAGCTGCCTCTCCAGTGCTGCCAGTACTGCCAGCACTGCCAGCATTCCAGCCCCACCAGAATCCCTCTGCTGCCAGAGAGGTGGTGACCCCCCAGGGATGCTGAGATTTGGAGAAAAATGAGGAATGGCCAAAACCTGGGTGGAGAGGGAATGCAGTTGGAGAACAGGAAGTTCTCGGGGAGGGGGGGGAGTGTTTTTGATCAGGAGTAAACGAGGAGCCATTCACAAAATTCTTCCTGGGGAGCTTTTGGCAGAAGCCACTTCCTTTGTGGCAAAAAAAAAAAAAACGAAACAAGATAAATAACTCCAAGGAAGTGCAGCTCTGACGCAGCCGAAGTTACAAAAACATTTCCAACTCCCCCGTGTCCCCACCGCTCCTGAGGGAACAACACCAGGACAGGACACGGAGAGGAGTCAGAGGGGACCTCCTGGTGATCCAGAGGCTTTCTTCTTCATGTAACTGTCCTGGGAGGATCTGCTCTAGGATATGGATCCAAAAGGAGCATGAGATGCCAAGAAGCGCCGCTGATCTGGACAGACAACCCTCGCCTGCTGCTTCCCACAGCGAACAGTTAAGTGGAATGTTTCCCTTCTTCCCTATCCCACCTTCCTCTCCTCTACATCCACAACCTGCGGCTCTGTTCCTCCCACTCTCTCCTGGTGACCACAGTGCTCTCCTCAGGTCCTCCCTCTACTTGCCTCCTGCATGTCCTGTGAACATCCTAGCCCTCCCACCCCCCTCTCCCACCCACCTCTCCCACCCTCTAATGTCCTCCAGCTCCTTCCCCAGCACATCCCACTTCTCTGCTCTGAATCCTTCCCAGGGCAGAGAGCTGGTGAGGAGCCACATGGTTCATCCCTGGATTCTCCAATCTCTAACTCTTACCCACTCTAACCACAGCCAGGGACCAGGTCCCACCACCTACCCGGTGTCCATCCATGGAGATGAGCCAGACATCCCCACCTCCCACCTCACCCGCTGAAGGCGATGATCCATGTGAGATAGACGTCACCGACATGGCCATAGATGGTGTCACCCTGCTTATTGGCCTCTGTGGGCTGGTGGGGAATGGGGCTGTCCTCTGGCTCCTCGGCTTCCACATCCGCAGGAACCCCATCACCGTCTACATCCTCAACCTGGCCGTAGCTGATTTCACCTTCCTCCTCTTCGTCATCACCTCATCCCTCCTCTACATGGTGGACAATGCCTCCTGCTCCACTGTCGTGTCCCTGAGGTACCTGAGGTCGTTCCTCCTGCTGTCACTGTTCTCCCACAACATGGGGCTGTACCTGCTGACAGCCATCAGCATCGAGAGGTGTGGGTCCATCCTCTGCCCGCTCTGGTACCGCTGCCACCGCCCCCAGCACCTGTCAGGGGTGATGTGCACCCTGCTCTGGGTCCTCTCTGTCGCTGTCATTGCCACGGTGACTTCCCTATGCCTGACACACAAGGATGAGCTTTGCCAGATGTCTCTCATCTCCATGTATATCCTCAACCTCCTCATCTTTGCTCCGCCCATGGTCATTTCCAGCACAGTCCTCTTCATTAAGGTCAAATGTGGCTCCCAGCAGCAGCAACCCAGGAGGCTTCACATCATTATCTTCCTCACTGTCCTCTTCTTCCTCATCTTCGCTCTTCCCCTCAGCCTCTCGAATTTCCTGCAGCAGCTCAGCTACACTGTCGTGTCCTCCCAGGTTGTTTTCCTGCTCGCCTGTATCCACAGCAGCATCAAACCCCTCACTTACTTCTTGATGGGGAGCTGCTGGAGGCGCTGCTCCCTGGTGTCCCTCCGGGTCTCCTTCCAGAGGGTCTTTGAGGAGACAGAAGAGAACACTGCCTGCAGCAATGGTGCCGTCATGGACACGGTGGTCCCAGCCTGTTGAAGGACCCTGGGATGGTGGCTGAGGGTTTCCCTGAGTCACCAGATTAATAAATATCCACATATTTCCCCCAGTGTCACCCTCCCGCAGTGTAATCCCTCCGGAAATGGGAGCAGGCACATTGCCAAGGGCAGTGTGGGAGGGATGCTCTGCAGGGAGCATGTTGGAGCACGGCTTTCTCCTCCCTCCCAGGTCCTAGAATGCTATTCCTCCAAAGGAATCATACCCCACAGGGCTGTGATCCCAAAAATCCCCCCGGTACGTGATTCCTGCGTCCCACTGTGGTCTGAAATCAATAAACAGCTTCGTGAACCCTGAGCTTGCCGCTTTCCTCTGGCTCCTACTGCCAGCCGGGAATGTGGGTAGAGGGAGGGGACACACACATGGACGGAGAGGACATACTCATGGCTTGTGCTCCCTGGAGCACAAATGACCCCCACAGTCCATAGCTGGGACTGCACGGGCACAGCCGGCATGGACAGGATGGCCCAGGGGTTCCATGTTCCCCCCCTCGGCTGCTCTGTGAGTGTCACAGCAAAGATCTCCCCAAATATCTTTTATTTTTAATTTTATGAGCCAGGTGTAAATGTAAAGGACTCTTTTCCTTGGGAAATTCTCCCCCTCTACCCTGGCTTCAGCTTCGCCTTCAGCAGACTCGGATGGTGCAAAGGGAGGGGGAGTTCGCGGTTCCCAGCCCGGCTACCCCCTTCCAGGAGCAGAGTGACAGTGTGTTTGTCACCACGGGCTCCACGGGGCATTACCCACCTCCCCTGTGGCTTTGCCGAGGTCGCCAGCCCCGCCCAAACCCACACCTTCCCAGCACATCTCACTTTCCCTCCAGCCCCACCACATCCCACACCTTCCCACTACGTCCCACACCTTCGCAAGAGCCCCCA